TTTTGGAACTCTTTTTCTGGAATGGCCATCGGAGCTGTCGTTGTATTACCCTTGATGTCCTGAATGTCATCAAAATGTCTTCCTTTCAATATTTCCTTTAACTTTGGGTAAAGAAAGAAGTCATTGGGGGCCAGATCAGGTGAGTAGGGAGGATATTCCAATACAGTTATTTGTTTACTGGCTAAAAACTACTTCACAGACAGTGCCGTGTGAGCTGGTGCATTGTCGTGATGCAATAGCCATGAATTATTGGCGAAAAGTTCAGGTTGTGTAATTTTTTCACACAGCCTTTTCAGCACCTCCAAATAGTAAATTTGGTTAACTGTCCAGTTGGCACAAATTCATAATGAATAATCGCTCTGATATCAAAAAAGGTTAGCAACATTGTTGCAGCAAGTTCTCAAACTTAATTGTCAGAACTGGTATGTTAAGAAAAGTTATTCTACTGGAAATATTCTGCTCTTCACCCAGAAATAACAGTTTGGATATCCAGGAAGGGGGAGAGTTTGTGCTGAATTACTGGACAAAGCACGGATTTCAAAGCTTGCTCCTGACACGACTGGAGCAAGCACAGATTTCAGATTAAACTATGTCACACCAATGAAGACAGCGATAAGGAAATACAGTTAAGCTTTTGTTATCATTAGACCACCCCATTGGACAGTAGTGTACTTTTAACATACTAAATTGAGCCATACATTTTAATTTTATATTAATGCTACTAGAAAAGTCATCTCTTTAAGAGGGGAAAAAAGTGATTGCATTAGAGAGAGGCGGTCACATCGAATCACTGGGTGGTATGTTGAGAATTACCAGTAACAGAGCAATCCTTTTCTCAGCATATGAAGCATTGACTGCTTCAGAATGTTAATGGCTTTATTTTTTCCAAGAAGAGGGTCTGAACAGGGAAGATTAATTTCCCTGAGGTTCTAGAAGTCATTACATAGTTACACAAGTCTCTCTCAGTATCCCATGTCAAATCTGAATTAGTATAACAACAATTTTAAGAAAACTACGGAGTCACATTAGATACGCTATCGGTGTCTGATAAATACGGAAGCAATCATTGTTGGCTATAAATATGTAGAATTAATTTAAAAACTGAGCCAGAAGCATACGATATGTATCTTTTGTTTCATGCAGCTGCTGTGATTGGCTGATAAATATTTGCCAGAGAAAGAGAGAGCTGAGAGCTCGTATAGTGTGGCTTGGACATCCTGAGAAGTGTGAAGAAAAACATCCCAGAAATTCAATCAAAAATCAAAAATACAATGTGTTTACCTTTATACCTGGGGTAAGACTATTAAATTCTTGAAAATGGTTGCATAGCAGAGATTGTTAGCTTCCTTTGTTTTCATTGTTTTTTTCTTTAAATTTTTAATTTTTCCCTTGTTAATTGTGTCATAACCAAATCAACATCCTTTTGCTTTTGAATCATCTGTTTCAAATTATCATTAAATAATTCATAGCATTTTAATAGGTATGTCAGAGTTTAACTGAAGAAAATTTACAGTTTATTGCCTTTAGTTCTAGATAAACATTATATTTATATTATTGTAGAAATAATCAAGTAAAGCTAAGTAAAATTATTAGAAAATGAGTCATAAAATTTGTTTGGCTGGGAATTTGTGTGGAGGGAAAAATGGAAAGACATGTTTAAAGCCTGCCAAGGAACTTCACAATTAAAATAATAATTTTTTACACAAACATAACTCAGTAACAAAATATGTCCTAGCATTTATGTGTCTTTAAGACATTATAAATTTCATACCTTGTTATATCATTAGTTACCTTTAACTAGGTTTTGTTTGTTACAAATTTCACACCTTGTTGTATCATTAGTTATCTTTAATTAGGTTTTGTCCTAAGTTTAAATACTGAGGTTTAAATATTGTATTACTTTTTTTGTTGCTAGTGGTATATCTGGCTAAAATTACAAAACTAAGTATATTTTACAAAAAAAAAATCTCTTGATTATGTGACATGGGGTCTGCTTTATCTTCCTGTTTTTATTTAAATAATCATGCTGACTTTATATTGGGCATTGATTGCCCCCCATCCCGTCCCATCCCATCCAGCCAGTAGTTGGCAAGGGCTTGCTGTGAATATGATCCTTTATTAAAACACACAAAACCAATGGCTCCAGTGAAAAGACTGATCTTTTGTTGGGACAATAAAATGTAAACTGTTGTAGGCAGCTAACTATTCTCATGTTTATTGAATGAAGCTACTGTTTTCTTTTTAGGTTTAAATTATTAAATACTCCCAGATTGGCTGAGCATTGCACGTTTTCCTAAAGGTCACAGAGTTCGTTCAGTAGACAGTATTGATTAGAGGGGTTGAAAGCCAGCAGTGCAGCCTACCTTTGATCAGTGAATTCCCACGGCCTGACAACCTGGGCTGTATCCTGAAAATACCTGCTGATGTGTCTCCACAGCTATTACCATGTGAATGATGGTTTTTCTTAGATTGGCTCTTAAATTAGTCTTTTCATCTAAAATGTAGTATTTGAGAAACATTTGGTAATTGCACAGTAGGATTTCTATGCCATTGTTAGCACGAATGGCAATTTCTGAATTGCTAATAGATATAATTTATGCTAACTGAGATTTTTCAGAAATCACTGAGGAGAAAGAGAGTTTTCTCTCCTGCTGAGATTAATTTATGAAATGATTCAAACGTTTTTAGAGAGCAGTTGCACAATTATGAATATAAACGTTGTATCAGTGTGACCGGTTTTCCAGTCGCACATACACAACTGTATATGAGGCAGATAACTTCATTCTATAAAAGCTGTGGTTCCTCACTCTTTAAATCGACAATAAGCACTTAACCCACTGCCCTGCTCTGTTAAAACGGCCATACCTTCCAAGTTGCATAAAAAAACGGCATCCAAGGGGATTTTGATTTGCAAGTCGCAAGTTTGTAATAAGTTTCATTGTAATTGTAGTGTGCTATGTGAATTATTCTCATCTATCAACATAACTGTTGTTCCATTTTGATTTTCAATTTGTTGATTTGAGAATTTGTAAATGGAAGTCTATTCATATACTAGATTGTGGCTTTCTTCCTTAAAGATAATTCTATTTGAATTAAAAGGCAAAACCCAAAAGTTGCAGGATTTGCATTCCTAAAATTTTATTGAATGATGATATTTATTTTATATTTGAAAATATTTTTGAAGGTCAACTACTAAAGAACTATAAAGAATGTATAGGTAGCTAGCTGTCTTCCTGAAAATAGCTACGTAACTTCCATTTCTCTATATCTTATCATTTCTTACATTTTGAGGGAAGTAAGTACTTACAGGAGGTCAAGGCAGTTTTTTGGGGGAAGTCACACCTGTTTATGTTTCACTTGTTCACTCAGTCTTTGTAAAGCTACCCAGATATCCACATTCAGAAAATGTGACTATCATGTTTTGTTTTTTACCATTTCATAACTATAATGTTAACACGACTTTTCCCTTGTGAGATTTTCTGAGTCGTTATCAAGATACACATTTGTTTGTATTTTTACTGACTTGTTAACATTGGGAAGTCTTTATCGCATTTGCTTTGACGTGAATGTAAAGATTCATTCATAGAATAGAAAATGAGTGTGGAAGACTGAAGATCGCATACAAGAAAATCCAAAGCTCTTAGAGGTCACTTTTAACATCATTGAGCATTCTATCTTTTTTTCAGTTTATTTTAAATATAATTTGGGGTAACCTAATTGCTATATATGACTTGGTTATTGGGAAGTTAATGTCAAATTGCTAAATTTACTGTAAATCGGCATATGTGTATTGTTTAATGGAAATTAGGTACTGTGCTAATTTTAATTATTTAACTGAGGTGTTAAAGATTTTCCTTGGAGAGACTGTGTTAATTTTTTCTTTTCCTTTTTTAGGTTTTATATGAACAATTCAAGTTTTTCTTGAATCTCTATTTTCTGGTAGTCTCCTGCTCACAGTTTGTGCCAGCATTGAAAATAGGCTATCTCTACACCTACTGGGCTCCTCTGGTAAAAGAAAAGATTTTTGAAATTAAGTTAAATTGTTAAATATTTAGAATATAGTTGTAAGAGTTGAGATGGGTAATAGATAAATTGATCAGATTTTACAAACGTGATATTGTTGCTGTGTATCATTGCATTTTTGTTAAAAGATTTGACAGAGTTCTGTTGCTTGGGTACTTGGCAGCCCTGGAGCAGCGCACGGGCTGGAACAGCCCCCCGCCAGCTCCCTCCTGGGCCCACAGAGTGGCTGGGAAGGGCACCATGGGGTCTGCTCGGTACTGTGTGACATCCTGACAGATGGACAGTTTTCACCCCAGGCTGATGGTGACAGTGCTAAGTATCTCCGTGAAGTCTAGACAGTGTCTGCCTGACAGCTCAGTGTATAAAACTTTTGGAAAGGCAGATGGTACTTATCATTGGATGTTTCCACTTCAGACACTTGTTGTCTTGGTAGTTTTTGCTGTTCGCTGATAGTTTTAATAAGTTCCATCTTATAGATACAAATGCACTTTCTTCCTTCACCTAGAAAAATGGACCGCTTCCTTTAGCCCTGTGGGGCAGACTCCCAAGTGACATGGCCAGGGACTGTGGGCAGTGAGGGAAGCCCTTCGGGGAGCGCAGGGCAGGCTCCGGCTCCCACCGAGGTGCTGCCTTCACAGCCCGAATCTGAGCGGCCTGCTGGCTCATCCCATAGGCCGGGGCAGCGGGGGTGTGACTCGGGGAACAGAACCCCAAGTGCCAAATAAAGAAACCGTTTCCACTTACTAGGTTAGTAAGACCGAAAGAGACCTTGTGCTGGCAGTGTGACGTGGTGGTAGTGGAAACGCCCATCTGGCCAGGCCGCAGGCGACTTGGGTCGTAGGTACCAAAGGCATTAGAATGGTGCAGCGTTTTTATTTGAGGGCTTTATCCCAAAGAAGGAATGATTGGTTACAAAGTCTAAAGAATGTCTATTATTTTTGATGAAAAAATTATTTAAAGTTTCAGATGTCCAACAGTGGATTGTTTAACTGTGCTGCATGCCATGTGTATGTTGGAATACTGTGTTACTGAGTAGCTTTAAAATGATGTTTACAAGATGTATTTAACAACATTAAAGGTACATATGTTAAAATAAGTGGGAAAGTGCGTTAAAATATGGAAAGAATGACATACACACTCTTTGATCAGCCGGGAGTGAGTGAGCCTGTGTCCAGCTCGTCTAAGCCATGTCGATACAGCAGCAAATGAGACGGACGGTGCCGTCCTGACAGCTCAGGTCTGGCGGAGAGAGAGAATTTGAACAGGTCCACATGCTGAGGAAGAAATACAAAGTAGGATAGGGGATCGAGAAGGAAATTTTAACAGTGTGGCCAAGGAAGGCCCCTCTGAGGGGGCGGGTGGCATTTGAATGACGTCTGAGTGATGGGAGGGCGGGGCTGAGCCCCGTAAAGAGCAGGGAAACAGGATGGCAGGCCCGGGAGCAGCAGTCGCTGAAGCCCTTAGGCCTGCAGGACACTTGGCATGGGCCACCGTGTGGGGACGTGGGGACTGTGCGTGGAAAGGAGGTGGGAGCGCGGCTGGGTCAGCTGCCCCAGGGCTCGCGGCTTTCGCCGTGAGCGCATAGGGGCTGTGCGTTTGCGTCCGTGCTGCTGCGCCCACGAGGAGCACTGATGCTTCCAGCGCAGTTGGAGAGTCTGTGTGAAAGCCACCCGCCACTTTCTTCCTTCTTTTCTCTCAGTTTCTTCCCACTGGAGGGACCTCTGTTCTGAAGCTGAGGTTCTCATCGCCATGCAGCTCTTAATCATTTCAGTACTGTTTGTATCATTAAACTACAGTATTGTTTTCCATGATTAACAATTTTAGATAAAGGGTATCCTACTCTACATCTTTTTGTTGTTTGTTTTTGTTTTTTTTTTAGCTGAGCCATCCTGCCACCTGTTGGCAGCTCGGCGGCAGCTCAGCTCAGGCCTGGACTCAAACCCTGTTGCTCAGAGCTTGCGCTCTTGAGCGAGCTCTTAACCAACTGAGCTACTCGGCCGGCCCTCCATCTTTTTTGCAACAATCTTTTTTAGCTTAACATGGGCTTATAAAACTGATCCACGTTGACACATGTACCTAGTTCATTCGTCTTTCACATCTCCAAAGTGTTCCTTTTTATGACCAGCACAAATATTGGTCCATCATCCTGGGAAAGGAGACTTTTAGGTAGTTTCTAGTTTTTCATAATCACAGACTTGGCTGTAATGACCAGTCTGAATGCACGTTCCTGTGCACGTGGGCCAGAACTGCCAAAGGCTTTGTGTGCCCTGGAAGCCTCATTTTAAAGCGCTGTTCTTTTTTTTTTTTTTTTAAAGATTTTTATTGGGGAATTGGGGGAGGGAAACAGCTTTAGGGGAACAGACAAGTTGCTGTCCTTTTGTTCTTCAGTCTAGTTGTGGAGGACATCGCTTCACTGGCCCATGTTGGTATTATCATTGCGCTCTTCCTGGGTGAGGCAGTCGCTCACTGGCCATTGGACGGCTGCTCACAGTAGCTGACTCCTGCTGCCGGCCAGCCCCACTGCAGCCTACGCCGTTGCCGGCAACTCACAGCAGCCCAGCTCCAGGTCGAGCTGTTGTTCACCATCTTAGCTGTAGAGGGTGCAGCATCACTGGCCCTCATGTGGGATCTGAACTGGGGCCCTGCTGCTCAGAGCTGGTGCCCCAAGCCAACTCCTAACCAATGCACCGCTTGGCCGGCCCTTTTCCATGTTCTTTTTTTTAAAGATTTTTATTGGGGAATTGGGGGAAGGGGAACAGACAAGCTGCTGTCACCCTGTTCCTCAGTCCAGTTGTGGAGGACGTTGCCCCACTGGCCCAAGTTGGCACCATCATTGCACTCTTCCCCAGGGAGACAGATCAGTCGCTGGCCTCTGGACGGCCTCTCACTGCGGCTGCTGGCCGCTCATGCTGGCTGTTGGCCGCCGGCCACACACTGTAGCCCATGGCAACCCACTGCAGCAGGGGCTGCAGCCCAGCCGTCGCCGGCGACTCACGGCAGCCCAGCTCCAGGTTGAGCCACCGTTCAGCATCTTAGCTGTGGAGGGCAGTGTCACCGGCCCCCACATGTGGGATCCGAACCGGGGCCCTCCAGCATCCCAAGCCAGCTCCCAACCATCGCGCCACTCGGCCGGCCCCCATGTTCTTTTAAACAAAGGAAGTATTCATCAACAGGGCTTTCTCCCTAAGTTCCTGAGATGTGAATTTTTAAAATGGGCTTAGGTATAGTAAAAATTGTAAATCTTTTTCTATGTATCATATTCCTTTTATACTATTTCATTGTTACGTTTCATCTTTTTTCTTTGTTTTCATTTATTTTATGTTTTAGAAATAATATACAGTTGACTCCTGAACAGCATGGAAGTTAGGGCCCCACACAGTAAAAAATCCGCATATAACTTTTGATTCCCCCAAAACTTACTTCCTGGGCATCTGTGGGGGATGGGTTCCAGGACCCCCTGAAGATACCAAAATCCACAGATGTTCAAGTCCCCTGTATAATGTGGCACACAGTTATACCGTGTCAGTGACAGTCAGTCCCCTGCATCCGTGGACTAACTCCCAATCAGAAACCAAAAACGGTACAGGTATTTATTGAAAAAAAATCTGTGTATAAGTGGACTCTGCATAGGTCATACCCGTATTGTTCAAGGGTCAACTGTAAATTGAGGGGAATAAAGATAAAACTAAATAGAAAAAGAAGTTTCCCTTTTTTGTTAAAGTCAAGTTTTCTTAAATATTTGATTTTATTTTGTTTTATAGGGATTTGTCTTGGCTGTTACTATCACGAGGGAAGCAATTGATGAATTTCGGCGTTTTCAGCGAGACAAGGAAGTGAATTCACAACTGTACAGCAAGCTTACAGTAAGAGGTTAGTTAGCAAGACACTTTTAATCCAGCTTATCGTTTGTTCGATGTAATCATCATTTTAGCCTTGACATAAATGAAAGAAAACGTGTCTTAATTCTGTTACTGGAAATAGTATTATGTGAGTGCATGTGGTATCTAATTAAGTGTCTTAACATACATACAGTTTCAGAGTAGGTTTGTATTCATTCTCTAGATGCTTGGATATATGTGTGTGTGACTATACACACACACATACACACATATACACATAGGTTAGTAATTATGTAGTGTGCTCTGTTACAATTTGTATATAATGCTTGTGTACTTAGACACACGTAGTACCCAACTGGGGTACACACATTTCCTGTGAATCGTAGTATCGCCTTATTTAAATCATTCTTTGCACTATATTTTGTACATGATTATAAAGTTAGACATCTAATACCAGGGCTATGCTTAACTAAAGGACGTTGAGTGCCTAAAATAAATGTCCTGATCCCAGGTGGTAACTGGTGTGTGCCGGTTTCTCCTTTACCTTCCTCCAGGGCTTAGCCCTCGGTGTTTAGTCCTAGTGGTACAAAAGAAGCAATGTTTTAGAAAGGGAATGGGGGGAGCTATTACAAATAGGCATTGTGACAGTGTATAAGTGACAATGACACCTTGGCAATGAGGGAAGACATTGCAAAACCAAGTGGGCATTCATAATAACCTTGGAGTCTGTTTAATAGGAAGTTCAGAGTGGCTTCTGTTTGTACGAGTATATGGACATTTGTATAATGAATTATTTGAAATAGTCCTGTCCCAAAAAAATTCTTTTTACAGCTTATTGGGATATATTTCATATAATATAAAATTCATCCATTTAAAGTATGCAGTTCAGTGGTTTTGGGTATATTCAGAGTTCTGAAACTATCACCACCATAATTTTAGAACATTTTTAACATTCTAGGAAGAAAATATGCATATATTAACAGTCCCCCTCCATTCCTGCCCCTTCCCTACCCTCCTCCAGCCCCAGCAACCCCTAATCTACTTTGTATCTCCAAATTTGCCTCTTCTGAACATTGCACATAAGTGGGATCATCAGTGTGTGGTCTTCTGTCACTGGCTGCTTTCACCTGGCAAAATATTTCCAAGGTTCCAAGTTATGGCGTGTGTCAGTACTTTATTTCATTTGTTGCCAGATAATATTCCACTGTATGATATATCACGTTTTGTTTACCCATTTATTAGTGGATGGACATTTGGGTTTCCACTTTTAGGCTATAAATAATGCTGTTATGAACATTTGTGTACAAGTTTTTGTGTAAACATTGTTTTTGTTTTTGTACACATTTGTAAGAGTGAGATTGCCAGTTTATGTGGTAACTATGTTTTTGATGACCTGCCAAACTGTTTTCCTAATTGGCTGCATCATTTGCATTCTCACCAGCTGCGTATGAGTGTTCTAGTTTCTTCACATCCTCACCAACACTTGTTACTGTCTCATTTTGGTTGTAGCCACCCTCATGCATATGAGGTGGGATCTCACTGAGGTTTTGAGTTGCTTCTCCCTAAAGCCTAATGATGTGGGGCATCTTTTCATGTGCTTCCTGGCCATTTGGAAATCTTCTTTGGGAGAAATGTGTATTCAGATTCTTCGTCTACTTTTTAACTGGGTTATTTGTTTTTCTATTATTGAGTTGTAAGAATTCTTTATATATTCTGGCTTTAAGTCCTCTGTCAGATACATGATTTGGAAATATTTTATATCATATTTGGGTTGTTTTTTCTTTTTCTTGATGGTGTCCTCTGCCGCACAGAAGTTTTTAATTTTAATGAAGTCCACCTCATCTATTTTTTCTTCTGTTGCTTATGCTTTGGGAGTTTTATCTAAGAAACATTTTGCCAACCCAAGAGTACAACGATTTACTTCTATATTTTCTTATAGGAGTTTTATATTGGGTTCTTATAATCAGGTTTATGATTCATTTTCATTTCATATTTTGTGTATGGTCAGTCCACATTCTTTTGCATGTGATTATCAAGTTGTCCCTGTACCATTTGTTGAAAAGTTTATTCTTGATTGAATTGAAAACTTAATAAAAAGCTTTGATGCTTAAAATCTGGCATGCTAGAGGAAAGGTGTGTTGTAGACAAGAAGGTTTGCTTTAGTTTTGCAAAAAGGAGACCCCAGAATGGCCAGGTAAATTAGGTGTAACTGTGGTTGGTCTTTTTTTTTAGAATACACTATAGATCCTGGCTTGTTTTTAAAATTGTTTTAATTGTGGTATTTGTCCAGAATAGAAATTTGTTTCTGTGCATTAATGGTATCATTTAAAAATAAATGGTGTGGTGATACCAGCGAAAATGGCAGAGTAGGCAGCTCCACATGTCCGTTCTTCCACAGAAAGGAAAAAAATCAGAGTGTTTCCCTATGAAATTAGAATAGGCAGAAGAAACAAGCAGTGAACTTGAACTAGGTCACATGAAATTATCCAGTCTGAGGAGCAGAAAGAAGAATGAAGAAAAATAAATAGATCCTAGGAGACTTGTGGGATAGCATCAAGTGTACTAATATACACATAATGGGATCCTAGGAGGAGAAGAGAGAGAAAGGGAAGAGAGCTATTTGAAGGAATAACCATTTACTTCCCCAACTTGATGAAAGACATCAGCCTATAGGTTCAGGTTGTTCAGTGAACCCCTGGGAGGATAAATGCAGAAAGAGCCATACTGAGACATATAGTCAGACTGTTGAAACCCAGGGACCAGGGGAACATCCTGAGATCAGCCAGAGAGCAGCCACCCGTCACATGTAAGGGGTCTCTATTCAGGTGGTGAGAAACCAGCAGGAGGAACGCAGTGGAGTGGCATTTAAAAAATGGTAAAAGAAAAACTGTCAATCAAGAATTCTATATTTAGTAAAAGTATCATTCAAACACGAAGGAGAAATTGTGACAATCTCAGATAAGTTTAGAGTTGAAAGCAGGGACTCTAGCAAATACACATAATGCCCTTGTTCATTGCAGCATTGTTTACAGTCGCCAAAAGGTGATGACCCAAATGTCCATCAGGGATGGATGTCTGAATAAACAAAACCATGCCGTATTCATACACCGCAGCATTACCTAACCATAAAATTTAATGCAATACTGATAGACGGTGTAATGTGGATGAATCTTGAAAACATCACGCTGTGTAAAGGAAGCTGGACACAGAAGAGCATATGCTGTATAATGTCATTTACGCGAAATACGCAGACACGTAAAGTAATTGGGATAGAATGCAGATTGTGGTGGCATGGCCTGGGGACGTAGGGCATGGGGGCAACTGCTTCATGTGGGGATGGGAGTGTTTTGGAACTTGATGGGGTTGGTCATACAACACTGTGAATGTCCTCTGTGCCACAGAATTGTCCACTTTAAAATGGCTGATTTTATGTTGTCACTTTCACCTAAAAGTAGTGCAAAATGTTGAGGAAGACATACTAATATTGTCTTATACTTCTATGATATTTGAAGTCAAAATACTTTAAAAATAATTTTTAGTAGGTGTATTTCATACTGAAGGAAACTTACCTCTAAAAAAATTGGTCATCCTTGCTGGTGATTTATGAAATGGACATGGTGTAACGACAGCTGCTATTTTCTGACTTCCTGTGTGGCAGATGACATTCACCATATTCCTCCGTCCATGGTGGGGTGGTATTATCTCCAGGTTACAGATGCGAAACCTGAGGTCCAGCTGAATAACCTGCCTGAGTCAGGTGTTCGGTAGAGTTCCCATCTGAACCTGGACCGTTCTGACCGCTCTGACCCCCAGTGTTCTTTCACCTGGCGCTTTGCTTTGTGGCTAGTTGTTCTGATGCAAATGCCTGATGAGTAAAATCTAGGGCATAAGAAATACATGGTTATGCTTAGTGTTGGGCATAGTTTAAAATGTATTTTGTTGTCGAGAATATTTGCCGCCCGTCTCCTTAATTTCTGATATTTCACAGTCACTATTTGAATGGCATGAGGACTACTTGTGTGATTTACTGTGGTTTGTTGTATCATTTACAACATTAGAACTTTTAATATTTGGAGTTCTTCAGCACATTCTTGTAGAAATATACTGGGAAATGTTCTCTCTCTCTCTTTTTTTTTTTTTAAGGAAAGCCCCTTCCACTTTTAAGTATGCTAATATCTTAAAGGTGCTTTGTCTGGGAGCAGAGCATATTCTAACTGGTAGATGATCTCAGTCAACACTGATGATTCTTAGTTAGCTCTTTGTTTTGTTGCCTGAGAAGCTCCTCTTCTTATGTGGGAGTTTTCCTTTCCTTCCTTTCTCCTTGGTTATGACTGCTTTTATCCTTCATTATTATCTCTTAACGGAGGACAATGTAAGATAGACTCCCCTACTTGTTGGAAGCTCTCGCAGAATTCCTGATGAAGGGGAGTGGGAACTGTGGGCCACTCTACCTTCGGGTTCTTGGAATCAGGGTTGTATTTTCTTGCTGTTGCTGGGAGAGGTGTGCACATCGTGTGCCGTGGTTGTAATTACCCAGTTGGCTAGTTCACAATTCAATTCTACAAATATTTACTAAGCACTCACTATGTGTTCGGCACTGTGATAACCTCATGAGATTCAAACATGAGTCAGTCCGATGCCTTTCAAAGAGCTCATGCAGCATTCTAGCAGACAGGATAAACTCAGAGGTCTTTGTTTTTGTTTTAATCAGCCACCAGATCTCAGCAGGGCTAAGTCATATCAACCACTGTTAGCGTAGTTTCCAACCTTAAACCTAAAGTGAATGTGAAACTTTATATGTTGAAATGGAGCTTGAATTAGCTCTGCACTACGGTTTCATACAGCTTGTGATTATTTTCCAGTCTGTCTTAGATATTTCTTTTAATAGTCCTGGCATTTTGTTGTTGAACTTGTTTTCAGGTATTCAGACATATGCGAGAGAGAAAGCCTGCTGTCTTTGAACCTTATGTAAATCATGTGTGTAAGAGAGAGAATGTAAGAGAACATTTGCATATTTACATGTTTCTGGTT